ACCAACATAGTTGCATGCATGAGAACGATGAGGCTCGTCGTGGCCTTTTGGCACCGCCAAGCTCCGGGTGCATCGCCCTGCATGGTGTGTGCCCATGTCGTATCACCAAAACCTCGCAGCTTGTATCCTTTGCGTCGGCATTGACTCAGTTGACCTACATGAACTTGTTATCATTTTTGCGTGGAGAAATTCTGATGGCAACTCTGAACACGCATATTAGCTGTGGCACCGACGGCCCGTGTCGAAGAGGCATGAAATTGGTTCCACATCTGTGTCCGGCTCATTTAAATTGGACATGGCATCGTAAAAATCGGACGGCTGTCATAATTGCAATTTTTAGCATCTGCACGAAATACCAATTGCTCCAGACTTAACAAAACCAGGCAGCAGTACCTGCTTTTCTGAACATGGAAATATAGGTCATGCATGTATAATGGACGTTTCGTATCGCTACAAACGCCCCATTGCAAGCAATATCGGGAGAATGCCATCTGGACACCGTGTCTTATTGCACGAACCCAGACATATTCAGCACGGACCTTTGAGGCTCAAAATTTGGATTCTAGAAAAGAGCCAACGATGACATCATTTACTCTCAAGTTTGGAGAGTTTGTCCTGCAGAGAGTGTTGTGGTGCCTGTCGTTCGGGTGTGGTGGGTCGAAACCGATCGATCTGCGATAAACCCGCAGCCAGGGAACAACCTACTTCCGCCTGTCATGTCTTACTCTCCCGGAGGTTTTCTGGGACACGGGTTGGCGAGCTTGTCGACTGAAACATGACAGGAATGAATCTCAGAACAAGCATTTCCTCAGCACCTAAGTGATCGCGCGCTACGTTGCTGGACGCATAGTCGACACGTTCGAAGGCGATTGAACTCTCTCTACCTGGCTCGGGGGTGGAGGCAGTGGTCTATTGACATATTTTATTTCCTACTCTATTCAACGCTACGTTAGGGGTATTGCGGACTCGGCTGTGCCATTCCTTCTCCGTTGATCCTCCATAACCATGAAACGCCTTTATACGTCATTCTCTCAGCGACTGTAATAAATAATGGCTATGAAGTCTCTTAGTTCTTGGCAGCCTGCTTGTGGACTTCGGCCTTGCCATCGTGGGCATTCTGTTCGAACTTGTCACCGACAGCATCCTTGGCAGCGGTCAAACTATAAATTTGTATGTTAGTCTGGAATTTATATGAAATGTTGGGCACACTGCCAACATACCGAGTGCCAACATTGGCATTGCTGTCCTTGGCAACCTCCTTGTTTGCCTCGTGGCTGGCACCAGACACGGCACCCTGAACGGTCTCAGAGACGTAGTTGGCGGCTTGCTTGACAGACTCCATTGTGATTTTTCTAGGTGGGGTTTTGAAGAGAGAGTTGCGTTCAAATTTTTCTGATGTGAATTTAAATAGTTGGCGAGGTTGTTGGAGAGGACAAAGATAAAAGCTCTACAGGAACGAAGGGTCCAAGGGTTTATATAGACGGAGGCATCCTCAGGTTGTTCCTGCTTCAACAGCTTTCATCGGGGAAAATACTGAAGGGCTGTGGCGCAAGAATACCCACTTGATGAGTACCACAACGCAACCACTGGTGACATTGACACCAAACAGTTGTCGTCGCCAGCATGATGAACTTGGATTTTACCAGCGTCATTCCGCCTGACCCCGCAGCCACACGGTGGGGCGCCACACCCGATGCGCTATGGCGGTGCAAGGAACCTGATGACGACATTGGCTGATGACAACCTGTCCAGCCAACCAAAGTAGCCGCTTTCAAACGTTACATGCAGATTTAGTGGAGACTGCATCTTCTTTTGCCTAGCTCTGGATATTCATCAGTTTCTGGTAGCATCTCCAACTCCTTGTTTCGGATAAGAAAAGCACTTTCCTGTCACTTAATTCGCCGGCTTGTTACCCATTGCACCGGATATGACGACATAGATCTTTCATCGGATGCATGAAATGATCCGATTCTGTACGGCTCACGAACCCAACGATTTGCAAGGATGACTTGCCAAGGTTCCCTACTTTGGTCATTTGATGATGGGCTTTTCAGATTTCTAGTCGAGTTTCTCGTTTTGCATCAGGAATCGAGACACTTCTTGAAGAACATGGAGTACAGACAGGAAGACCATAATCTGCAGATATAAAGTCGTAGCCGGATCTTCACTTGCGGTCCAATGCTTGATTCTTAGCGAACTTGCCGTAATGAATGTCGGCTGCGGCCTCAATGTGGCAATGAGCACATTTTGGCTTGTGGATTCGCGGCACCACTTCTCCTCATTATCCCAAGCCGTGAGGTTGATCGTGGAACGGGTCTCGGCCCAGTTGAATTATCTACTTGACTCGGTACTGACAAGATGATGTTGGTACCGTGTCAAAGTGTTGTAAGCCGCCTGGTCCGCTTCATCCCCGCTAACTAGTTCGTTTCGCTAGTTCGACCTCGGCCAACAGACACATGGCTGTCGTTGGGCATAGGACCCTTGTCCCCTAGTTTCGGCTATGGCTTCTTAGTCCACTATTTTTTCGATTTCCTACTTATAGTTCGATCCTTGCCATCGAGATTTGGTATGATGGATCATAATCGTCGTCTGTGCCTGGCCGGGGAGGTGCGCTGCCCGCAAACACAAAACGCCTCACATGCTGATTCCCAATATCATGAACGTTACTTTCCGCATCGGTAAGGCGATAACGTCTCCTAACGGACCGTTCGTAACAATAGCTAGCTTGATGCCGCGTCATCCCAGGCTCCAGGTGGCTAACCCTTGTGACCTTGGCTTACGGAGAGTAGCATGGTCCATTGCACTCTCATTGGCGTCAAACAAGTTGAGTAACCCCCCGAGATCTTAAAGAGACGCTTAAGGATACATACCATCTAGTCCTGCAACGCTGTAGATGGCAATGACATAAATTTTCGAGCGTACTGGCATATCGAGACCGACATCTAACCTTCAGCCCTGTTCATACAAGGATTTTTGAAAGGGTACCTGACCCTTGATAATCGGTATCAGAAATTCCATATCGCAAATGTAGTTGCTTTTCAGATGCAATAGCCCACGCCGTTGATTCTCGCGCGAGGGTTAATCGAGGAGAGTCGACTCACGTCATAAATTTTTTGATCGTACTGCAAATTGAAAAAATTGGAATATAGCCCGCAGATGTGCGTCAAACGGTGAAATTCAACCGCCTATTCGATTATCCCCTCGTCGCACGGAGTAGTAATGTCGATGAGTTCAATGACTTGTTAATGAAATTTCAGGAATCTTGACATCACGTGATATGTACTGAAACAGCAGCCCCACATTCCAAGGCCCCGCCTGGGATCCATGTGAAGCTCATCATCATTGGGAGCCGCTTGCGGTGAACACCTATCCATCCAAAGCAGCACCCGTCACCAGACATTCGTGTATAAGCTACATGAGCAAGAGCTGTGAACTTGCATAATACTTTGCGAGACTCGCCACTTTCGGGGACGCGATGGATCTCGCCTACGACCACATTCAGGAGAACGCATACCCACAAGACAGAAAGGAGTCAAATGAAACGCCTAAGCCGGAGCAGCAGGAGTCATCATTAAACAATGATTTTCAAGATGCGTATAAGGCTATCTCGTCAAGCACCTGGGGTATAAAGATTGGTGGGTTCTTTGGAAATGTTATGAAACAGGTAACCCTCTTTGAACAGCGACTTCTCAGCGTGCCAGTATGTTAACCATTTGTGCAGGGCGAGACTGTGTATGCGCAGGCCCAGAAAGAGCTCGCCGAAGTGGGAGAAGACGCCACCAAGGGCTTGAACGATCTTCGTGAATCAATACTGAATCGAACCCGATCGCTATCGGTGAACACTGCCACTGCCATGTCAACAGACGGTACCAAGGAAGGCGACGACACACAATCAACGCCAACTAAAACGAGAGCTACCGCTTCCGATGACGCTGGTGAACAATCTGAGACGGTTTTGTCACGAATACGCTCTGAAGCGGCTAAGCGTCTCAAAGACCTACAACAAGCTGAAGATGCCGCTGATGAAGCATTGCTGCGATTTGGCGGCAGCGTTCGCGATTTTCTGAGGGATGCGATTAATGTTGCTCCACCTGACGAGTCATCTCAAGACAGTGCAGTTCTTTTTGAAAGCAAAGATGCACAAGGCAAACGGGTTATTCACACCTCTCGATTTGATGCTCAGATGCATGTTATCCATACATCTGTTGATGGCTTTGCCAAGGACCCTACCAGTGACGAATATGAGAAGTGGACAGCGGAATTCGATGTTGAGAAGAAGACCGATGATATTAGCAGCGATCTTGCCAAGTACCCTGAGTTGAGGACCACAATGGAGAAGCTTGTGCCGGATCAGGTTTCCTACGCCGACTTTTGGAAGCGATACTACTTCTTGAGACACGGCATTGAGACTGCAGAGTCGAGACGACGGGATCTGCTTAAAGGTACTTGTTGCCATTCTTTTTATCTATCTTAAGACAATTCTATATACTGACCTCTGTTTTCTTATAGCCGCCTCCGCTGAGGATGAGGTTGGTTGGGATGACGATTCTGACGAGGAAGTTGGTGAAGCAGAGAAGAAGTCGCCTGGCCAGAAGTCTAGCTCTGGAGCGTCATCCACGACTATTCAACGCCCAGATGGTCCTACAAAGACTACCGAGTCCCGGAAGTCCAATGACGAGAAGTCACAAGCCGACAGCGAAGCCAGCTATGATGTTGTTGGAGAAGCCTCTGGGAAGACAAGCCAAGCTCCAAACAGTCCCAAGGACTCTAGACAGGGAGATGATAGTGACGATGACTGGGAATAATGTTCTGTCGTTAGACGGTCGCAGCGTTTGATCTTTCGGTCGCTTGAGCTTGGCGTTTTTGATTCTTTTGTGATTCCCAATTATGCAAAATTGACTTTGTCGCACAAATCTGTATATATGCGCTGGGTATCATAGATGGAGATATAGTCAGAACACGGACCCTCCTGCACGAATATCTGCCCTTTGCGCGACCTCTTACTTCTTCTTGTGCGTAACTTTTGTGAAACCGTCCTCGTCAACTTCAGGAGCTGGCTTTTCCTTGGGTGCCGAAGGTGGCGCAGGGGCGTCATCCATGTCGATGTCACTTGCATCATCATCATCGTCATCGTCTGATTCCCAGTCGGTATCTTGGTCGACATCTTCAGCCTTCTTGAACAGTTGATCTACCTTCTTGCCCTTGAGGTTCTGAAACCGCTGGCTCAACTTGTTCACTTCGTCGAACTGGCCAATAGCGCATTCGGCTCTCGCTCGGACGATATTGCCGGCGACCTCTGTGCCCGAATCATCATCAACGTTAACCTCGAACTCATCTATCATGACCTGCAGCAATACAGTCTCAACGTCCTCCATGTCGGGTTCTTCGATGGGCTTGGTCTGGGGCGCATCGCTAAATTCGGAGAACAGGTCGACGATAGCGCCGGCAAACCAGTCACGCTTATCTGCTGAATCGGGGCCACCCCAGCCGTTTTGAACAGCGAGCGTAAGCGCCGGCCAAAGATGGAGGGAGTAGGCAACGGCTTGTTCGAAGTTTGACTGGCGCACAGCTACATGTACTCGAGTTAGAATGAATCTGAGCAGTTAATGGAGAAGAGTTTTCGGCCAACCTGCGGAGGGAAGCTGCCCGATATCCGTAGACGAGGCCATGGCTACCTCTGGGATTTTTTCTATTTTCTTTTATTTCTTTTTGAGTTGGCGGGGTGTTGGAGGGGCAGACGGGCACCGTGATGACCATCAGCATAAAAATTTTGGTGGTACTTTGCGCTGGTCGCTGCTCTCCTGTTGGCGGTAGCTTGGGCCACAATGGGGTACAGGGGCCAATGGGGGACTCCCATGGCCGCAGAGTGACTGGTTTGCTGGGCCCATTGAATTTGATCGCGGGTGCGATTATTTATTTTATGTACAAAGTACAGAGGACCCCGTGCATGCATGACATCATGGCGCCCGTTCTTCCGGCTCTGCCTCTTTTCAGAGGTCCTAGCCTTTTGTATACATACATAACGACTTGGCTTCCAGGTTCTAATCCTGTGACCATCATGATTGCTATCGCCGATGGCCTGCAGCTACGATGAACAGACTGAACACGACCTCGGTCTCGTTGGCCGTCACTCCGACAGTGGTTTCCACGCTGTTTTCTCATGTACGCAAATGGCATCAAGCCGTGTGACGTTATTTTCATCCAACCAGACGTTTCAATTGCATCGGAGACTAATACTCCAGATTCGACACTCTGTAGTATCTTAACCGGAAGCCACTGAAGCAAAGACCAACGGCGCATTTATCATACGATGAGGGTCTTCATCTGATCCGATCGTTCCTGGAGTTTGCATCACATCACACTGTAGAAGAGCTGCAAGCCTTTACCTCCCAATGGGTTCCTAACCCCCAATGGATAAGGGTGGACGTGGTTAAAATATCAGATGAATTTCTATCCCGATCAGCGGAATTGATTCAAGCCCAACTGGGACCAGACGGCATCGCCCAGGTCGGCGGTAGACAATGGTGGCAATGGAGGAAGCCGAAGTCGACTTTTGAGGCGGAATGGATTGAGATGCGCTCCCAATACAATGCAAGAAAGGCAATCGATGATCCTGGGAGGCGAGTGATGCTATTTGTTCATGGAGGCGCGTACTACTTCGGAAGCGTCGATGAGCACCGATACCAGTTGCAGCGCCATGCACGTAAATTGAAAGCCAGAGTCTTGGCTCCGAGGTATCGCCTTGCACCACAGTTTCCGTTTCCCTGTGGACTACAAGATTGTTTAGCAGCATACTTGTATTTAATTTCAGTTCAAGAGCCGAGCACCATACTGGTAGCGGGCGATTCTGCCGGTGGCGGGATGGTACTGTCGATGCTTTGCGTCTTGCGAGACCGGGGTATTCCTCTTCCTGCTGGCGGTATTCTCATCAGTCCTTGGGTTGATCTCACTCACTCATTTCCAAGTGCTGCTGCTGATGCCCCTTTTGATTACATTCCGCAGTCTGGTTTCCATCACAAACCCTCTCGAGCTTGGCCTCCTCCAGATGATGACGACATTGCCATGTTGCAAGGGGAAGCAATTAAGCGAGCGAACAAAACGGTAGTCAACAACAATACAAGAGTATCTTCTGCTAGGATGAATGGTTCCAAACCTACCAATAGCGAATCCACGAATACAGACAGCACGATTGATTCAGTGGCAAGTGCGACCCGGCCAACCAAGTATTTGACTGTTAGTATAGATGGCAAATCAGTAACTATCAAAGACCAAATTCAGGTGAGCCAATGTGGGAAATGACCAACAGAGACACGGTGCTAACAAAACACAAGATGTACACAACAAATGCCCTCTTGAACCATCCTCTTGTCAGCCCTATCATGCAAACGACTCTAGGTGGACTGCCCCCGTTGTTAATCATGGTTGGAGGTGGCGAGATTCTCCGCGACGAACAAGTCTATCTGGCCCACAAATGTGCTAATCCTAGGAAATATACACGACCAGTTGAAACCCTTTCAGAAGAGGAACTTGAACTATTGCGAAAGTACAAGCCCACAGACGTTCAGCTGCAGGTATGGGACGACTTATGCCACGCTGCTCCCATACTCAGTTTCACGAGGCCCGCCAAATATATGTATAGGTCTATTGCTCAATTTGGTGCTTGGGCTTTGGCTAGGGCTCAGAAAAGAGGCATCGAAATTCTGGATGATGATGATATCTCAGTCATTTCCAAGTCAGGTTCTGAAACAGATGTTGCACAGAATGTTCAGCGCGGGAGAGAGGAAGAGCGGCAAACTGAACGGCGAGAGCCTGGAAAAGTTGGCAAAGCTGGCGACCCTCTGCCGCACTTCATAAACCACATGGTTCGACAACGAGTCACGCGCCACGGTGTCACTCTTCCATTGCCTGCGGAGTCAGAACTTCCTGGCTGTTGTATGAATGCCTCTGTTATCGGTGTAGCCAAGGAAGGGACCGTGAAACGTTGGCAAGAGACCAGAAAAAAATGGGACAGCCGTTATGCATCGTCGAAAATCAAAGTGCACAAGAAGATCATCAAGGATATGGTGACAGGATTCCAAGACTTCGGAGCAGGCGAGAACCCCCCACCCACAGCCCTCGCCGGCAGACGGTTAATCGAATCAGACATTGTCGAGAAGAAGAAAACGAGGAGCATGGGCCTAGCGCTTTGGTCTTTTTGGGGATCCAAGCATGACGAGCTCACCGTTGAGCGCGAAAAGGAAGCCGATAGGACACCCGAGTCACAGGACGTGACTGGTGACGAGGGGCGAGGGGCAAGGTCTTACCAAGACATTGAATCCCAACAACCCGAACCTTCAAAGCCGGATATTGCAAGCAGAAGTAGGTCTCGTCGCAGAACTGTCATCGATGAGCATCAAACAGAGGAGACTGGCGTGGACGAGAATACACCTGTGGCACAGTTAATTGAGCAGCGCAAGGAACAAGAAGCTACTCATCCTGGACTTCTGAGTCCCAACTACGTCCCTGAAACTGGAGTGGCAGGGAAGCGTCCATATATAGACGGTATTGCACTGCCATTTAGCCTTAAGAAGGATGCTGAAACAGCAAGCATGGTAACGTTGACTTCAGTGACACCCGCAGGAGAGGGCTCTCGTCCTATGAGTCCACAGGAATCTTGCATGAACTTATCTGGTCTTCCAGGGTCGGAGGACGAGGCGAGAGCCGAGCAGATGCTAGCAGCCAGAACCACTGGACCGGCCATTGAGAGCTCTGAATCGTATCAAATTCCTCAGATCAAGGAGCCAGACCAAACTAAGGAAGCAAATGCTTCCAAGTAACATATACGGAGGATATGCGACTGGGGCAGGCTCCAGAGCATCATATTTAGCAACAGATGTCCCATGAAACCATAGCGCACTCGTTTGTATTTATTGTTCGCTTTGTATTTGAATTGAAGAAAAAAAGGTGAATGAAAATACAGAGGAAGCTAATCCTGTCCATTTTGTTCAGAGACGTCGATTGTTGTTACATGGCCGTCATGCATAGTGTTACAAAGTTGGGGTATATGTACGAAGACGAGAAAGCCCCTGCTTCTCGCCAGCTTTTAATCGCGTTTTCCACGATTTATTCACAGTGCCCTCAGTTCGTTATGAGCACATCACCTTTGCGCCTCGATGACGCATCTCCGAAGCCGCCTTAATCCACGCCATTGTATCGTTTCCACTGCTCAACATAGAAATACGGATCTTGTGGTCCCTTTTCCAGGCCCTTGTAGTCGCCAGGTACTTCTCGAACTTGGCGACTGACGAACGGTGTGAGCTATAATTTTGTTCAAATTAGTATTTTTTTTTTTTTTTTTTTTTTTTTTTGCAATATGCGGTGTTGGCGCTAATAGAAATTACCTTGAAGTCTTTCAGGTTCGGGGGAACAGCGTACGTCCGGACTTTGTTCCACTCAATTACATATCCTCCGTGTTTGGTATGGCGACCCATTGAGCCAGTTCGGTTTCCCTTGTAGAAGCCCTTGCCGACATCTTTGGTGGTAAGTTTGAGATGGCGATAGCGGCCAACGGAAAGGGCTTGGGTCGGTCTCATTGTCAGTCGGTTTGTGAGTTGAAAGGAGAAGGCGAATTCGCGACAAGGTTGAGCACTGAAACGTCGAGAACAGACGTGGGTCGGGGATTTGTTGACTTGCTGATGACGTTGATGGGATGGTTGTCGCTGTCGTTGGAAATTTCACAGGCGCGGTGGTTCGGCGGTAGGCGTTGTTCCGATCCGGTTAGCTCGTGAGCCTACTTTGACAGCTTCCTGTGGAACACAGTGTATGTACAAGGTACGTATTTTTGCACATGACATGGAGGTTTTTTATTTGCACAATAATTTAGGCTTTCACGTGTTGGAAACAAACGATGGTAGTTATAATTACCTAGGTAATTATATTGTCACTATGTTATGGGAGTTGAGAAAGATGATTTTCTCAAGTCTGTCCTTCGTCCCAGTGAAGAGTGGTGGTAACATCACCCAAACAACCACCCCCGGACGTTGCCCCCACGCGAGGGGCATGATCAACCCGCCTTTAGCTTTAACCTCCAGAAGCTCTCTCCCGTGCCAGCTTGCAAGCGGACCAACGAGCGACGTCCGCCGGCATTGGGAAACTGCACCATGGATGGGTACCCGCCAGGCTGTTTGGATCATAATGTTCCGTTCCTGGTTGCTTCGGGCCTGAACTCAGCTGAGCCAGGGCTTGACTTGCAAGGGGAATTGAGCACCCAAGGGCAGTTGATCAAGTCAGACCTGCCGCCACTCGAAGGTCGAGAAGCGCAGTTGTTGGAGACGTACTTTGAGGAAATTGATGCTAGGGGTACATCTTGGGCAGTGGTCCCAAGGGACGAACCCTATCGCTTTCGGATCAAGACGGTGGGAAGGGTATGTGAGCGGTGTCAACGCTTCGAAGTGTTTGGGTGCTGATGCGCAACGCAGTCATACCTTCTGCCGCCCCGGAAAACAATAATACCTGATTCTGTCGGGCCTCCAGATCCTAGTGCGACTATTCACTCTCCGTTTTCTCCGCTGTCTCATGTTTCCGCGCTATACCCCGACGGCCTGATCGATTCGCAATGGATCAAGAAACACCAGCATCTTGTTCCTAGCATATACGCCTGTTTCTACTGGCTAGCCAATGACAACCGCCTCAAGTCGGACGTTAATGAGATCAAAGCTACGCTAGCTCGATCTGGCTTCAAGACCAGAGTTGCGATAATCCTGTTTGGCAATCAAGATAGTGGCACGGCAGTTCTTACAGAAGAGGTTCAGGACCGATTAGAGAGTATTCGAAGAGGGACCGCGCTAGATCCCAAGTCCATATTCTATATACCTACACAAGAGTCCCCCGTCGAGCTTAAACGAAAGATTGATAACATTCTTGCTATTCTGTATTCAAATGCCGTTGAATATTACAGGGATCTCGGCCGGCATGCAAGGAAGAAGAGATCGCGTGGCATTGCCCCGCAGCCGACGATACCACCAACATCCGGGACATCGCATACACTTTCGTTGCCTGATTGGAACTTTCGATATGATATGAAGACCGCCATTTTGGCAGAATTTCGCCAGGAGTTGGACGCGGCGATTCGATCCTTTGAGCAGGCCTACGAAATCTTACTAGGACAAGATGTTTTTGACGTAATTCCGAGTTGGAGCTCCCGGTGGAATGATGCTCGACAATTGGCAGACATCATCTCGATCCGGTGCCTGCGAATACATTTGTGGATGGGACATACAAGTCTAGCCGTCAGGAGATGGCAAACGCACAGAGATCGAATCGGTGACCTTGTGGATCGTAGAGGGCACGGAACAAATACATACGGCTGGCAGGCCTGGGAGGCCAGGTGGGCCATGGTCATGGCTAATTTAATAGAGAAAATTGAGGTATCTGGTTTGGTTCCGGCGTCGATGACCATATTTCTACCACCTGAACGGGCGGTCTTGGGCGAGCGATTACAACCATGGGAGCTTCTACATCATACAGGCTACTGGTATCGCATGGCCGCACGGCATCTTACTGCTCGACGCACCCTCGCTCACATGATGCTAGATGAAGACAGAGAACCACCGGAATCTACGTCAGCGAAATCTGCGAAGAGCAGCTATGACACTTATATGTGTCCTCCACCTTATCAAGAAAACCCGCTGAGCGGAGAGGGCGGTGTCAGCCACGCTCAGCTGATAATAGACTGTCTTATTGCCTCTCGCACTCAGTTTGAAGCTAGGGGCCAGCTGCGGATTGCCGCAGAGCTGTCATTAGAATGTGCAAAGGAGATGGCTACATTGGGTTCTTGGGAAGATGTTGTAGCGATTTTGCAACCTGTGTGGGACAGCGGCTCATACCGAGCTGATAACTGGCTGGATATATCTGAGGATCTGTGTTGGTTATTACGCCGGGCAGCCAAGGAAATTGGCCGGGCTGATCTCGTCGTTGCCACGGACTGGGAGCTGATGAACAAGAGTAAGTGCAGACCTATATTTGGAGGCCTCAGCCTTACTAGGATAGGGGCTAATGTGGCTGTATTCAGAGTTTTCGAAGCGGCAACACTGGTCCTACGATCTATCACAATCGCTAGACGAGATAACAGTCGAAGAGAAGCCATCGATTCAACTTTCGGATGCCTCATCATCGCACCTTATTTCGTCAAGTTTCGTGTTCAGAAGCAAGGAGAACAAGGCAGGCGACCAGTGCCTAGCCCAATTTACGTTGACTTCGAACGCCATGGCAGATTCTATGCCGATATCGTTTTCTTCTGTAAAGATTCTGTTTGAAGGCAGTTTGAAACCTATTTTGCTCCAACACGGCTCAAGTGGGGAGGAGAGCTCTTTTATTACCAAAGTGGCGCTGGAAGAACAGTTTTCCACTGATGGACCGGGCGATTTACCACTCAGCGGAATTTGCGATTTGACATTAAAGCCCGGTGAAAAACGGGTGTTTGAAATGGCAATTCCGTTGAGAGAGTCGGGAGAGGCCGAGGCGTCTACAGTCGTCGCCACATACGAGCATAAATCCTTTGACATTCAGTATACCATGTCGTTCAGAGACACTGATCAAGTAACTGGATGGTATATCAAGACTTCAGACAGGCCACGCCAATTGAGACCCGATGCCAGGATACTCCACATCAAGCCACGACCACCCAAGCTTCTAGTTAGCCTGCCCGAATCTTCGGGCCTATATTACACGAACGAAACGGTGGAACTTGGAGTGGAATTGCGAAATGAAGAGGAGGAACCGGCCCATGTCAAACTGGACGTACAGTTGTATGGGAAATCAGTCCCGTCGTTGAAGCTACTGGTCGGAGAACATGAGCGAAATGGAGAAACGGGCGAGGAGGCAACCAAGGCGCTGGGAGTGCCTATAGGCGTCATTTCTAGCGGTGCAGCGGCCGAATTAAAGCTGATTATTGATCCTACAACGGCGCCTACAACGTACGATCTTCACATTCAAGCAACTTACCATCTGGAGTCGGATACTGCAACACCAATTATACAAGTCTTGTCTCTGTCTTTGGACCTGGTGGGGCCATTCGAGGCGAACTACGATTTGTTGCCACGACTGCGTCCAGAGCCATGGCCCAGTCTGTTCGATTACGAAGGATTACACCTGGTCACAGAGAACGAGGCAGCAGCTCCGCCGGCAAAAGGATTTGCGCAGCAGTGGTGTCTGGTATGCCACTATGCATCCTTTGCCATGGAAGATTTGACGGTTTTGGGGGTGGAACTACAGGTTGTATCTTGCACGGGAGGGGCTAGATGTACGGTGACGCGGCGAACTGAAGTGGCAAGCGACGGCATTACCATATCTCCCCAGACGATACACGAAGCGCAGTTTGACCTCGTGGCACAAAAGTTCAGCCTCGACGATCGACACCCCGTTACTCTGGATCTGGCATTTGTTATCAAGTGGAAGAGAAAGACGGCCTCGGTGGATAGCCAAACCAGTGCCACGACCATGCCAGTGGGACAGTACCTCGTACTGGGGACGGAACCCAGAGTGTTGGCATCGGCGCTGTACTCCAACCCTACGGCATCAACTAATCTGCTACATTTGGACATTACCATTGAGAACCCATCTAATCACTTCCTCACGTTTGGGCTCAGCATGGAGCCCAGCGACACGTTTGGGTTTTCTGGTGCAAAACAGACAACAATCAACTTATTACCAATGTCACGAAGGACAGCAAGGTACAGACTTTTGCCATTTGTTCAGGGTGACTATATTCGGCCGGGTCTTGTGGTGCGCGACAAGTATTTCCAGAAGGTGCTGCGTATTATCCCCACCGAGGGCATGAAGATTGACAAAGACGGGCTGCTGGTATGGGTACCTGGGGATGGAAGCAAAGATTCGGAAAGGGGAGCAAAAGAGACATGAAAGGCATTTTCGTTGTGGTTCTATTTTGTCTTTTTTCTTTTATTGTTTTATTTTTTCAAAACTCAGGCTTTTGGCCGGCGGAATAGACGGTGTTTGAATGGCGGCGAGCAATGCCAGTACCAAACATCAAGATTTATCACGCGTGGTTTCCATTCCATATAGAGGGTGTCCGCCAGTCGTACGCAACGAGGGAGGGAGAAGTACATATTATCAACCAAGCTCGTCATCAGACGCAGCATCGAAGATTCGCACACCGACGCTGAGCATAACAGGCAGTGATGATGCAGCGATTCGGAGTCGGTACAACATTCTGTCTTTGGCGGCAGATGGCAGATTGGCGCGCTTGGATTCGGGCATCGTTACACCTGGGTAGGCTAAGCGGGCAGCCCTGTGGGCCCGACGACGGAACTGTTACGGCTTGCTTGCTGTGAGTTTGTCCATCAGGGAGACTTTGACACTCCCCGCTGAAATGAACCAGACTGCGAGGCTGTCCACCTGATTGGCTGCCTAGACGGATTGGGCTGTCGCAGGCTCCACGTCTCGGACATCGGCAATCTCCCAAGTCCGCAGCTTATTTGCCTGGGGCATCCGCGACGCTTTTCAACAACGCAGATTTCTGGATGACGTACAGCCCAGCAAGCCTCACCAGATGAATCATGAGTTGGAGGCGCCCTTTCGTCAAACAAATGGGCCCAGTGATGATCGGCCTCGTCTTTCGCACAGAGTGCGAATCGGGCAGCAGCTGTCATGGCATAGTGCTGTCAGGCTTCGCAAGATGCGGCGGTTCAGATTTCATCTAGTATATATTACACACATGAACCACCACTTGCTAAGAAACACAGTGGAGTTAATTTCGGCTGCGCGCAGATAGTGCAAAGTCATCATTATGGCTACTCTGACTGCCGCCACTGAACCAGGTCGTCTGTCCACTGACAAGACAGAAGTTGATTCCGGAATCACCTCGCCACCTAAAGATACACACCCGCACGAAGATCACCCCGTCGCCGATGGGAAGGCCCAGCAGAGTGAGGATGGCGGTCCCGACTATCCACATGGCATTAAGCTGGTCCTGATCATTTCGGCGCTGTGTCTGGCCGTGTTTTTGGTTGCCCTGGATCAGACCATTATTGCGCCTGCTTTGGGGGCTATTACGGCGCAGTTCCAGAGCGTCAAGGATATCGTATGCCGCTTGACAAGTTGCTCTTTGAATCGCGTTAACAGACGGGAGTGCTAATGGATATGCTTTTCCCCAGGGCTGGTACGGAAGTGCCTATTTGCTCACGACGACGGCTTTGCAGCCCATGTACGGTGCCGTGTATAAGTTGTTTAATGTCAAATTGGTGTATCTCGGTGCTGTCTTTATATTTGAAGTGGGCAGCTTGTTGACTGCCGTTGCGCCCAATTCGACTGCGTTTATTGTGGGAAGAGCTATTGCGGGTGTAAGTTGTGGTTCATGGCCCAGCCCAACGATGCAAAAAGTGCAAAATTGACCCAAGAGCCTATAGATTGGAACTGCTGGTCTCTTCTCTGGCTCCATCGTGATCCTCTCGCTCTCAAGTAAGTCGGCAGTCCAAACGCCCTCCCCGCCAAACATCGTCATACTCACACCTTGCACCCTCATCCCACTAATCGTACCGCAGTGCCTCTCCAGAAACGCCCTATGGTATTCGGTCTCATAGGCGGCATGTGGGGGATTGCCTCCGTCGCAGGCCCTCTTCTCGGCGGCGCATTCACGGAAAACGTCACCTGGCGATGGTGTTTCTACATCAACCTCCCCATCGGAGGCCTCGCCATGGGTATTATCGCGTTCTTCCTCCACGTCAACCGCAATACCTCTGACACCGAGAACATGACCTTTGTGGAGCGTCTCTTGCAGCTGGATCTGCTGGGCACCTTCGTCTTCATCCCCTCTATCGTGTGTCTTTTGCTTGCGCTACAGTGGGGAGGAGCGGACTATCCATGGAACAATTCCAAGATTATTGGCCTCTTTGTCGGGTTCGCACTCATGATTGCCGTCTTTATTGGCATCCAGTTTTGGCAGGGTGACAGGGGAACCTTGCCGCCTCGCTTCTTCAAGAATAGGAACACCCTGTGCGCCATGGTGTTTGCGTTTTTCTTTGGCGCCGGGTTCTTCCCCCTGGTTTATTACATCTGTAAGTCAGTCACACACATTGTTGAAGCTGGGCGCACATGACGGGCTGACACCATGGTAGCTCTCTACTTTCAAGCCATCCAAGGTGTATCCGCCGTCCAAGCCGGCATCAAAATCCTCCCTCTCCTGCTTGCCACGGTCCTTTGCTCCATCATAACGGGCGGTCTCATCTCCGTCATCGGCTACTACAACTTTGTCATCATCCCCTGCATGGTCCTCTACACCGTCGGCTCCGGCATGATCACCACCTTTGACGTGGACACCCCGCTCCGCCAGTGGTTCGGCTACCAGGTCATTGCTGGTCTCGGCATCGGGGCCGGCTTCCAAATCGGCGTGCTGGTCGTGCAGACGGTGCTCCCGCAGGAAATGGTTCCCGTCGGCACGGCCTGTGTGCAGTTCTTCCAGGCACTCGGCGGTGCCATTTTCGTGGCTGTTGCGCAGACACTCTTCCAGAATGGGCTCATTGACACCCTTGGCAAGGACAACATTGGCCTCGACGGCAAGATCTTTATCAATAGCGGCGCTTCCCAGATCAAGCATGTCCTGGAGGGAATGGGCCGCTTGGACGCCCTGGACCAAGTGCTGGAGGCCTACATGATTGGGCTTAGGCACACGTATTACATCTCCGTGGCGTGTGCAGGCTGTGCCTTTTTGGCGGTGCTGGGTTTGGAATGGAGGTCTGTGAAGCATGGCCCCGACGGCAGGAGGAACAAGAAGAAAGAAGAGACTGCTGCCTCGGCAGCTGTTTAAATCTGGACTTTTTCTCCTGAGGGGGCGCGTCGTATGACTCCTATTGGCGTGTGATGTCCTAGAAGTAGTCATCTCCTCTTTGTACAGGTTGGTCTACAGAGCACACTGGCCGGTAATACATGATACATATAGAAAGCTTCTTTGCCATAACAACTCATAAAAAAAAAATTTCGGTATCCCACTTCATTGTGTATGGTCTGGTGGTTTATCCCAATCTACAAGGCCCCTCGTCCTCTTCCTCCCTTTACTATCCAAACCCACGAAGCGCAACACCCAGTCCCTCACAGCGCGAACCTTGTCGACCTGCGGGTTGTCACCGCCGGCCCTCACCAGACTCCGCGTGGAATAACACCCGCCACCTTCCCCCCTCCAAAGGAGGTGCAGTCTCGTCAACCCCCTTCGCAGACTCTGTCCGTACACCTTGCCCCTGAACGCATGCAGCGCCACGTTCTCCATGAGCACCACGTCTTGCCGTCGCAGCTTGACAGCGTCGCTCTCGGCAACTTTATCCACGGGCAGCCAGAACGTCACTGCGAATCCTGTGGCCGTGTCATCCCCCACAAGGACTTCAATCAGCGACAGTGTGCTGCCCCATTTCGTAGTCACTGTGCGCGGCTGGGCCACGGACAGCACGCCAACTACGAGGTTGAGCGTTACGGTCTGGGACTGCAGGAAAGTGACTTGTTTCGCGGACGGCACATCCTCCAGGTCAGACAGGTGCAAGGGCCCAGGCGGCACGGCGCGGCCATCCTCTGAGAGCAGCGACGTTGTCATGAAGGAGGCGCTTTCAGTCGTGTCGAAGCTATCGAGGTCCGGGGCGGCGTTGGAGTTGTGCGCCGCGAGAGATTGTTCACAGAACTGCGCCAGAACGTCTTGGGTTCCTTCGCGGTCTGGCGCTGTGGCGAACCCGTGGGTTGTGGTGTCGGCGGTTGTGAAGAAGCTTGGGCTGCTTGGGCCATGAGGCTGCGGCAGCTGGTGAGCTTGGGTGAAGCCGGTGTGGAGGGGCTGCCGGGCCAGTGGGAGCGATCGCCATGCTGTGTACTGTGTTTGGGGAGGGAGATTGTTCGACGAGGCGTCCGGGAGCCCGAGGAGGTCTTGGAAGGGCTTGTCGAAGCCGTGTATTGAGCATGAGGTTTCGGTGAGGGCTGCTGATGGCGGCGGTCCTGTGAGGAGGAGGAGTTTGGGGGGTGGCATTATTCAGGTACAGTGCGGTGTCATGGTGGTGCCATTTAGCGAGGAGAGGTGAGTCGGTGACGAGGGCACCGGGGATAAGTAGGGATTACGAGAGTTGGGGACAGATTCGTGTTGTGTGAGGATGGAAACTGGTCAGAGTTTGAAGTTGGATGGGAAGCTTCGATGTCTGGGCTGCGTGTGGGTCGCGACTTTACGACAACCATGAACAAACAGCACCGTTAGCAAGAAAAAAAAAAGATGATTACAAGCTACATACGATACGTGTACCGAGCAATCTTCTTGCGGTTAGTCCGGTGGCTTTTTGCACTCAATCTTCCGTTGGAACCGCTTCTCGAAACCAGCCGTCCGGGACCACGAAGACGGGGAGCGGGATACTTTCTTCACGGGGGTACTACTACTACTCCGTACCTGGACCGGGGCCAGTGGGATTCCGGGGTACTGGGGTAGTGAGAAACTTATCGAGTAAGTACATGTACCTACCCGGGCACTTGCACCTGGCCCCAACACGCAGCCAGGCACCCTAAGTACCTAGGTACCTCGTATGTGCTATGTACTAGGTACTTAAGTACTCGCTCACTCACTCACTCTCTCACTCACTGCAACGGCTCCACCGTCGCTCCTACCTCAACCTCGGCTGAAGCTTTATGATCAATTCTTAACACAAGGTTGCGGCACCCATATATAGATCTCATCATGACTCCACGCATCAGTCACGCCTGCACTACCAACAACCCCCCAATCATCCTGCGGAATCACGAGCTTGCCGAGCACGCACGTATCCTTTGCACGCCATCTGAACACGTCTCTTTGTATTCGTGGCGCCCGATGCCACTTACAGACCGAGAACCGCTCGCCAAGGCCCCAAACACGACATGGCGGCAGCGCTGTTCAACGTCAAGGAGCACATCATTGATGCCTCCCACATCCGAGAGTTCGCCTTTGCTACGGCCAATTCACAAGATGCCACGCTAAAACTACACGTCAAGCAATATACTCCCAAAGACAATCCATCACCCCAAAGAGGCGACGTAACCTTGATTGGCGCCCATGCCAATGGCTTCCCCAAGGTACGCCCCAGAGCTATACATGTCCATGTACTTTATAGCCAGGCCATCATCACACAGGGGCTGACTACTGCTTCAGGAGCTTTATGAACCATTTCTCAACGACCTTTGCCACGAGCTCAACAAGTGTGGCGTGCGTATCCGTCATGTCTGGTTTGCCGACTGTGCTTGGCAGGGCCAAAGTGGTATCCTCAACCAGGAACGACGTCTCTTGGGCAATGATCGTGAGTGTCTTTGGCCCAACACGGCATAGCTGCTCAAAAGTACTCCGACTGATGATGCCATGTGCCATCCAGCTTCTTGGTATGATTATTCTCGAGACATCCTACACATGATCAACACGTTCCGTATGCCGCGTCCTCTGGTCGCCTTCGGGCACTCGTTTGGCGCAAACGCCCTCAGCTATACCGCCCTGCTGCACCCGCGTCTGTTCCACAGCATGGTGCTCCTGGATCCTGTCATTGCTCCCTATCACACGCAACGCCCCATGCATTTCAGAGCAGGTCCTGCCGCTGCGAGCGTTGGGAGGCGTGACCGGTGGCCGTCGCGGGAGGCTGCCGCCACCTTGCTCAGGAAGAGTTCATTTTACCAGGCCTGGGACCCGCGCGTCTTGGAGCAATGGATCAAGTACGGGCTGCGCAATACCACCGCAGATCCAAACGGGGAGGTGGTGCTGGCGACCACCAAGCACCAGGAAGTCTTTACCTTTCTACGTCCTAGCTGGCCCGCGTTTGATGCAGGCGGTAAGAACGCCATTAACCCCAAGTGGATGCCTGACGCCGGGACCTCCATCAAGGTTGAATACCCCATGTATCCTTTCTACCGGCCAGAGGCGATAAACACCTTCCTCCGCATGCCTAACCTGCGCCCTGGCATCGTCTTCATCTTGGGCGGGCAGAGCACCGTCGTTAGCAACAGCGATGCTAGAACGAGAACGGAGATCACAGGTACTGGCTTGGGAGGCAGCGGTGGCGTCGCCTCCGGTCGGGTCAAGGAGGTCGTGCATGAGAAGCACGGGCATCTTATCCCTTTGGAAGTTCCCCGCTTCTGCGCCCAGCATGCCGCGGATTTCATTAAAAGGGAGTTGGATATTTGGGCCACAGAGGAGGCGGAATATGAAGAATGGGCAGAAAAGTCAAATACTGACAAGGTAACTGTCTCTCGGGAATTCAAAAACCACCTCGGAGTCACAGACAAGCCAAGGGCGAAGATGTAGGCAGCCTGCTTGGGCATCGACTTGTACTAGTAAAACGTCTCGTTAACCATAGACTAGAACGAAGCTGAAGACCATCATGTTAGATCAATGGAGGATACGCATAGAAACTGCAATAAAATGGTCAATTTTTCTTCTCATAATTCGTCAACTTTTAAAGCCCTCACTTCCCCCTCTCAACCCAGCATTTTCAGACCCGCCAAAATTCTCAATCTTGGAATAAGTCGTCACGCATTTTCTCCGCATCATCCGGCACATCCATCGTTTCCCAAAATTTCCACTTAAATCAGATATAGTACATAGTGTCCCTCAAAGACTTGTGGACCTGCCTGACACCCGCCGCACCCGATGACTCTGACGACGCGGAGGTCGCAACACTCTCCACATCACTCACGTCGTATTCTGGACGGTGAGCGCGAGCACGCTCACATACTATATCAGCATAGTATGCTGGCGGGCAAATGCTCACGGCTTTGGTGGCTCGCCCGAACAAGTAGCAGAGCTCGTGGGTTAGACGCTCCAGCTCGTTGGCCGCTCGTTCGCCGTACTTGTACCTGAATATCTCGTCCAGCAGGACAGTATAGTGTGCTGGCCGAGCCGTTCCTTGCAAGGCCTCGTGTGCAGTCAGGAAAAAGTCCCAGTACGGAGCGAGTGTGATGCCGCGATCGACAACAGTGCCGTTCTTGACATTGCCGGAGCGAGACATGTCTTCCGTATTTGTTGGGTAAAACCTCGTTTGATGCCGCTTGACGGAGACGATGATTGATAATTTTGGCTGCTTGCCAGATGGGTATGTCTGACGGCAAGCGTCTCTGATCATGGGCAATTCCTGGTTAATAACCTGTGCGAATTGTCCTTCTGAAACACCATCGCGGAAAATAACGATATTTTCAGGAAGTGTTTTGTTATTATGGGATCGCCACAGGCTCAAGCGGGTCTTGAATGCATCAGTCAGAGTGTTACCAAGCATTTCTTGCTTGGCCTTTTGCTCCCATGCCATAGCGGGCCATTGAGCAAGATCTTGATCGACAGAAGCGACGAGACCAACGAGACTAGGGGGTTCGTTGCCCTTCGTGACATTCATGTTTGTAGGGTGAGTGACATCGTAGCCGACTAGCATTGTCTTCCCTTCCTTCAGAAGACCAAAGTCATTGCTAAGTTTGTGATTGACACCACCAGACTTGAGATTGACCTTAAGGCCAACGTTGCTGTAGTAGGAAAAGTTCCTCTCCTTGAATAGGTGTTTGGCAACGAGGCAACTTGTGTGGATGCCATGTACACAGTCTCCCAGGCGCTTGATCTTAGTATAGAGTCCACCACTGTCTTTCTGGCCTAGAATGAACATGATGTACTGGATTTTGTTCTCCTCAGCCCATGTGAAAAAGTTTACCAGGCCTGGGCCGGACATGGCTCCATCCTTAGTCATGAAATGCTTGGGCAGCCGAACAGGTGACTTGGCGATGTTCATACCCATATCATTAGCCATGAACTTGGCAAAGTCTTCCATGGTCTCAAGACCGACCTGTCTA